CACATCTTCCGCGAGGAGAATCGACATGTTGACTTCCTTGCCTGCATCGGAACATCCAACCCCAAAGGCGTATTCTTCATCCTGAAGAATTTTCTCATCGTATCCATATACACGGATGGACCAGATGAGCTACATATCGTTCAGATTCGGGCAGTCGCGCCCCATTTTTTTGTGCTTCTGCTCACTCGTGGTGATGACTTTTCAGCTGGACGTTTCTTGAACCAGACACTGATATTTTTGTGTCATTTGCTCTGTAATCCCTTTTTTTATTGTTTTTTGTTTGTTTGGATTGTTGTATATTGGACTTTGAATTTGTAGACATGTGACTATTCATCCCATGTCGTGCCTTTTTATATAGAGGTTGGGGGTCTTGCCTTAACCCCACCTTCATGGTTGTTGTTTTGAAAAATAAAAAACAAAAAATAAAAAGCTACCCTTACTCTTGATATTATTAGTAACTATTTATTTTATTAAAAAATCATAAAACTTGGAAAAAAAAAAGAACAAAAAACTATGATCATCCCCATAAAACTATTCCATCTTCCTCACAAATTCACGTGCATCTCCGTCGTCGGCCATCATCCCCAAAAATAAAGCCACCTCCGTGAAGCTTGTCCCGCCATCTCCATCGCCGACCATCGTCCACGACCAAACTCCCCATCTCCGCCGACCCGTCAAATAATATATATACATACATATACATTACTTGTTATCATAGATTTTTACAAATTCGGTAATTTAGTGTCCGAATATGATATGGGTAAAAAAATAGATTAATATTGCGAAATGGTATTGTAAACGGGAAAAGAAAAAGGATATACTAACAAAAAATTCAAAGGGTATTGATCATCACTAGTGTTGTTAAATTAAACGAGTCTGGCTCGATTCGGCTCGAGCTCGGCTCGTAAGGCTCGGTTCGGCTCGAGTTCGAAGCCTTAACGAGCCGAGCTCGAGCTCATTTAAAGCTCGTTTTGTTAACGAGTCGAGCTCGGCTCGATAAGGCTCGTTAAGGCTCGAAAAGTGAAAATTATGTAATTTTTTATAGATCAACTTGTTAAGGCTCGAGCTCGAGCTCAAACACCTTAAGCTCGAGCTCAGCTCGGCTCGTTTACAGCTCTAAATTCATCACAGAGAGAATGTAATGATATAGTTTTGGTTGTGAAGGTTAAGTAAGAATATACATATATATGTGAGTGTGTGTATCGAATTATTCAGTGCAATTTTTATTATATATGAGACCGTTTATATTGGTCCTATTTGATTGAAAAGTTTTGAACAAAAAATCTAGAGTATGTTTAATTCTTTTTTTTTTTTCATTGTATCAGTTGTTTCATTTAAGCCTAAATTTTGATGTAATCTAAAAGTTTGTGACTATAATGATTGCCTTCATTTTAAATTTCTTTATTGAGCTACAATTGAACAATTATAACTTTTTTTGAATAGAAATGGCATAATGTATTATTTATTTTTAATTTTTTAAATTATAACTCATTTTCTAAGAGAACGCTGAAAATATATTATCGATATTGAATTGTTGGAGCAGATAAAGTTCACTATTACAATGCATTAGATATTTTTTTCATATCATATATAACAAATGTTAATTTTATTAAAATGACTCTTATTCTTTTAAAATTTTATATAATGTAATTTAAAAACTTTTTTTATGATTATTTTATAAACATTCCATCAATGTACAAAAATTGATTCAGGGCCAAAGGGTTGGACGGCTTTGAACCGGCGATTTCGGGCCGATTAAGTGAACCACCGATTCCTGGGCCAGTTTTGTAACGCCTAGTATATTAATTACAATTTACGGAGCTCGACTATATTTCCATCAATATTAAGTTTCTAAATTTGATGCATTTATTATATTTATTTACATTAAATTAAATAATTAGTATTTAAGTCTAAGCCATGGTGAATTTATTCGATTTTAATTATTAAAGTCAGATCTATTTAGCCCAAGTATCGGTTTTATTTTAAAACCGAGCCTTGGAAATGATCGGAATTTTATTTTAGCCGACCGAAGCCGAATAATTGATTTATTCGAGCCTAATCCTTTTTGAGCGAGTCCAATTATGGTAGTCGGCCATTTAAGTTAATCGAACCTATGTTCGATTTTATTTTGGCCCATTTTAGTAAATTGAGCCCATGTTCGATTTAATTTTAGTCCATTTGAAAAATCAAGCCTACGTCGATGTTTTTAAATCCAAGCCCAATTATTTATTAAAGTCGACCGACTAATTAATTTAGTCCAAGTCTCGACAAATTTTCTTTTATTTGACCCGAACATTAAATACTCAGTTAAGCCATGTTCGAGTAGTCAAAGCTCGATTATTTTTTTAGCCCAAGCAATTACTAATGTCCAAAAGTAGTATTTCCCTAAGCCCAAGTAATGTTAGCATAGTGAGGCCAAATTTCCACTACAAACCCTAATTTTTTCTACTACTATAAATAGCCTTATCCATTTCATTAACCTTCATCATCTTCACTCCTCCACCATCTCCACCATTTTCGGCCAACAGCCGCCGCTCTTCAGCAAGTCGCCCTCGGCGACCCAAGCTCGCACCACTGTTGAGCCGCGTTCACCAGCCCGCCACCACCTCAAGCTCGTACCATCGTTGACCCAAGCTTACGTGGTCACGCCGACAAGCACCATTACCTCCGTTTCCGGCAAGCAACAAGCCCACAGTCGTCGTCCTCTCAGCTCGCAACCCTCCTTCACGGCCACCGATGACCAGCCTTCCAGCAGCGACCACCCGTTTCTCGGCGAACCACCGAGTCTCTTACTGGCAAGCCTTCACGCCGGCAGCACCCTCGGCATTGAATCCCTCATGTGGGGACCATGTACTGGGTATTACATTTTCTATAATCGCACTATCCTGACTGAGGTATGTATGTAAGATTCCGCCCGAATAGGGCCAATTACCTAGCAAGTAGATCCTTTCTAGCTAAGTGAACCGAACGCTAGTTGAGATGAGATAAAAATTCTAGTGTAGCTTTGAGTTAAGAGAATTAAGAACCTTAGAGTAGCCATGAGTTAAATTTAATTTCAGATGAAGTTTAGAATAATTCTTCCCTAATGGGGAATTGATCTAGAGATATGTTTCATCATAACCAAGTGTTTCGAATTCCCAGTTAGTATCAAGACTCTAGTGCCGTTGTGAGTTAAACTCCAACCTTAGAAGTGCATAAGAGTCATAACCAAGTGTTTCTAATCCCCAGTTAGTATCAAAACTCTAGTACCGTTGTGAGTTAAACTTCAACCTTAGAAGCGCATAAGAGTTAGTTTTTCCCTAGCATGGGCAACGACCTGCAGATTAGGTCCTACAGTTGCTTATCGCGAGCGTGAAGACCAAGTGTCCTTCTCGCCAGTTAAGCAGTCGGTTGAGCATCAGTTATAGACAGTCAGTTGAGCAGTAATTATAGATAGCATGTTGAGCAGCTGTTATAGACGGTATACTTATTTATACGCCTTTGTGATATGTTTTATCGTATTAGATGTATGCTTAGGTTGTGACGTGGTTTATCATATTAGATGTATGCTTAGGTTTGTGATGTGCTTAATATACCAGAGGTATGTTTAGTTCGCGATGTTGCAGTTATAGGCAGTCAGCCGAGCAACATTTATAATCAGCCAGTCGAGCAATCATTACAGTTAGTCAGTTGAGCAGCAATTATAGTCAGCCAGCCGAGCATCCATTATAGTAGTCAGTTGAGCATCAGTTATAGTTATCCAATCGAGCATAAACTATAGATAGTCAGTTGAACAGCGGTTATAGACAGTCAACTAAGTAGCAACTATAGATAGTTTGCCGATTTAAGTGTTTATTGGATGAATGTTTAATCTATTAGTAAAATGTTCATCATCATATCGTTTTCTACCAACCCAGTAAGTACTTGCATATATGCCGATGTCATGATATATTATTATATTAGCTGTATATTTTAGTGTCGGTTCCGACGGAGCACGTGGATTATTTATTCTCACGCCCCCACTAACCATTTTACAGGTGACGATGTCGAGCATAGAGCGTGAGCTGATGATGTGGTGGTGGCCATAGCAAGGATATTTTTTTAATAAATATGTCGTGTATATTTGAACATGTTTGAGTTATTATGCTTGTTTATGCATGCTTGCATTTGCTTCCGCACTTAGTATTTCAGTATTACAGTATTTCAGTATCTAGAATTTCAGTCTATGCATGCTTAAATTATGAGATGTTTAGAGTAATAAGTTATACTCGGTTGCATACCTAGTAGTTTAAAGATATTAAAGATTAAAGATTTAAGATTAAAGTTGAGTAGCATCCCGCATATTAAAGTTAAAGTAGTTTCGAAAAATTAATATGAGTTTTCGAAAATTAAATCAGAGTTTTTTTTTATAGCGTGAAAAATTTACTCTGATTTTAGTAAGTCTAGGCGGGATGTTACAAGTTCAGTAAAAGAGAAACAATAAATGGTAAAAAGTTCGAAAAAAAAAACGAAAAAAAGAAAAAGTCCGAACTACCAGTTCCAGTCTAAAACAGGCCCAGTTCAAAAAGTATATATATGTGGCCAAAAACCGACCCGGTCAAACCACGGACCAGTTCCAGGCCGGACGATTCAGTCCATGTCATGTCTATATCAATGTGCATTTCTTAAAAGTATATTAAATTATATTTCTCATGAATTTCGTGAAAAAATAAGTAATTTGTAATTGACATGAACATTAATATTTACTGGGTCTGTTTATAAATATAAAAAAAAAAAAATGATCCATGTTGCATGTAATTATGATCACCACGGCGCTTATTTTGCTAAACAAACGTTAATTTTTCAAACTTACTTTGTCAATAAAATAAAGTAAGAAGTACATGGACTTTTTAAACAAAAATGCATGAGACCGAAATTGAGTTATTTTTGTATTTTACACTAAATGCATGCAGACCAAAATTGGTCTTTTTTTTTTT